CCAAAGTCTGCAGCTTATGGAAATTCAGACTGGAAATGACACATAGTGACCCTGACCTCAGGGAGCTTACCTTCCTGTGAGGTGTCAGGTTCCCAGCAAACAGATGAACAAATGAATATGTATCACGGTGTCACAAAGTCTATAAGGCAATGGAGACATTATTTATGAATCAGTATGGAATGCTGTTAAGCCACTACAACAGAATGACATATACCAATGTTTCCTGATACGAAAAGTTATGAAAACTTTTTCAATTCTTTCAAAGAAAAAAAATAATCATATTGCAATACAATGTGAGTGGTAAGATCACAGCCACCTAAAAGTGTGTATCTATGGGCATGTAAATGACTCTGATTGTACAAAAAACATCTGAAAGCACGTGCATCCGAATATATGGTGGCTGTGTCTGGGGTGAGTGTCTTAGTGCCAGGTGAGGGTGAGTGTGTACACATGGGCCAGTGCTGGGGGAGTAAGAATAAGGGGAGGTTTAATACTTTATTCTGCAGTATTGCATCTTCTGCACTGAGACTATGTTCCCGTTCTCCTTTTGCATTTAATGAGAAACCTACAAGAACTAATCAGTGCTTCTCTAAAGCTGGTAAGAGAATAGGGCAATAGAGAGAGATACTCTCCTGTCCTGATGCTAGGACTGGACTGCAAATTTGGCTAACCTTTCTAGAAGGTAATTCCAACAGTTTTAAAAAGCTCAAGTTTTTGAAGCAGCAGTTTCACATCTAGGAATTTAGCCTAGAGAAATAATCCATGATGTGCGGAAGGCATTTAAATAGAAGAATGTTCATTTCAGGTTTGCTTATAAAAATTTTAAAAATGATGTCCAACAAAGGGAACTGACTCAATGAAATGAAATACATTATGCCATTTCCCTGTGATAAGACATTGCACAATTCGAAATCTTTTGGTGACTGCGAACATGTAAATGTTCACAGCTTGGCCATTTGTGGGGAAAAACAGTAGAAAACAAAAACTGACTGCATCATACCATCCAGTGCTGTAATAAAAATCATCTGGGTATCTACCTATGCGTTTATGCACCTGTCTCTGTGTGTGTGTGTGTGTGTGTGTATGTATCTATCTATTTATCCATCTACCTAACAAAAAACTGGAATGAAAACCAAAGTTTTTAAAGCAGTAGTGTTAATATATAATCATGTTTGCTTTAAAATTTAATTTTGTAAAATGTTCTTGGTGTCTGCAGCGCAGAGGTATTACTTTTATGAACACACATGCACGTGCGTAGTGGTATTAGGTATCTTAGTGAAAATATCGAACACAGAGAGAACCCACGTGTTGCAGCTGTCAGCATCATCTCTTCTCCTTTTCCGTGTGCCAACTCAAAAGGTGATTAATCCTGAGGAAAACGTATTCCCATCACAGTTACTATGAATTAGGCCGAACCATAGGCAATTGCTGTTTGTAGGGAAAAAATACTGTCAGTTTTCTGTGGTTCCTTCTATTATCTCTGGTGTATCCTTTAGTCTGAATGAAATTACTCAGTCTCTCCTGACTGTCATTCTTTCCAGCAAAGACCAGTCTTTCCGGGAGACTTTGTGATGAAGGTGGTCAGGTGCTTTATCTTTGTGAGATGGGGGACTTCCGAAGCTGCAAAGGGCCCCCCACTTGGTGTAATACTGTACTTGTCCCTGTTGTGAAGTTCTTAATAATTTTTGCACAGTGGGCCTCTTGTTTTCCATTTGCACTGGGCCCCGCCAGTTCTGTAGTGGCCCTAGCTGGGAACATTCTGGAAATCAACGGCCTGTGATTTCAAGTATGCATATAAAGAAGATAGTATTTTTGGGAACCCTAAGGGAGCAGTCAAATAAAATTGCCCTCATTTTCTAAGCCATAGACTTAGGCACATTAACACTAGCCTCTGTGTCACTGGGACCATCTCGGGGACGCGGTAGGTGTCCATGTGTAGGAGGTAATGGAAGGTATCCCTGGGTTCTTCTAGGTTAAAAAAAAAGTGATGAAGTTATATAATACCCTAGGGTCCCAATGGGCACATACAGTTCTCATTATTGCTTTCATAAGCTTTCCATATGCCCATCAAGAAGAAAAGGCATTCTATTCGCTTGCTTTTGGAATGAAACTGGCAAGAAATAAAACAGCTCTAACCTCTGCGTCTCCCCCACATACAGCACATATGATGCCTGTAGGTTGGATTCCTGCCTTATTAAAACTGTGCTGCCCACCTGAAACTAATAGAATTTTGTAAGTCAACTATACTTCAATTAAAAAAAACGAAAACCAAAAATCTGTGCTCTCAGCAGAAGGTACTCAACTCCACCCCTGTTTCCTGCCAGAATGACACCCTTACTTAATGGAGAAAAGAGGGAGATGCAGAGGATGGAACTTAAATTCATCACCTCGCTCTCCTGGACAGCCATGCGAACTGCCAGTGCACTTGGCCTGTCATATTTCTGAGGGGTGGTGGTTCTGTCTCTCACTCTAAAATAACATTGACACAAGGAATCTCCTGTGGGCCCTTGCTTGTGTGTTATCATCCCTAAATCTCTATCTCTCACATAGATCTTTCAAACCAAGTGATATTCTGTTGTCTAGTCTATCCCAGTATGGAGTTTTTCTCTGAAAAATTCAATCCCTTAACCTGGTGTTTCCACTCCTAAGAATACATCCCAGATAAGTAATTAGTGATGTTCACAAACGTGTAAGTTATAAAAACACTCATTTTAGGATTGCTTGAAATTCTTTTTTTTAATTTTTATTGAAGTATAGTCAATTGCAATGTGTCAATTTCTGGTGTACAACACAATGTCCCAGTCTTGCATATATATATATACATATATTCGTTTTCATATTTTTTTCCATGAAAGATTATTACAAGATATTGAGTATAGTTCCCTGTGCTATACAAAAGAAACATTTTTTAAAAATCTATTTTTATATATAGTGGCTAACAAAAATTCTTTTAAAACACAATGCCTGGCAATAGGGTAGTTATTTTAGAAAATTATGGTAATTCCATGTGATGGACAATCGTGCAGCCATTAGAAACCTTACTTATAAAAAATTGCTAATGACATGAGATGGAGTTACAGCTCACTGTATTAATCTTCTTGTTGCCTGTGTTATTTGGCAACTCAAAACCACACCGAAGGAAAATAGCCAAAGAAGGCTAACTACGAGAAAAGCGAGGGATCCTTGCTTGGAGAGACAGTTTTTCTTCTCTCAGAAACCAGCGGAGGGGAAGACACAAGATGGACAGAGACTCAAAGGAGAGGCTGGATGGCTGGGGAGACCACGTGTCCTAGAAATGGGGGGAAGAAGGGAAGAATATTCCACTGGGAGACACAGGGAGGGGAGTGAAGACTCTGAGTTACTAGTATTAGTCATTGTGTGAAGAGCCACCATTCAGCAGCCTTGTGTGGTCTTCAGCATCCCAAAAAGAGAGGACTGGGGAGATGGGCTCACGGTGAGGGGCTGAGAAGAGGGGAACCTGGCCGTCCTGGTCAAGGTAGAATTTGGTACAACTAGTAGGATATAGATGCAAATATGGCGGCAGTGGACAAATCACATAGTAAAACCCTTTTGTTTTTCACAGTAGGTGACAGTTCTGAGATGTATTCATTCGTTCAGTGACTATTACACAAGGATCTGTTCTTTGCCAGGTACCCTGCTAGGTACGGGCTGTACGCTGTGGAACATGACAGGTTTCTCCCCTACTGAGGTTGTGCATTTTTCATGAAGGAACGCTCAGGTCAGAGCAAACAGAACACAGTATGAGAGCATGAGAGTATGATAGGGGGATAATGTTTTCCTTGATAGAAATATAATTCCATTAACATGAATGATTTCATGAAGAATTTTGAGTTTTGCTGGTCAAGCACATAAGTCATTCTTCAGTCAATGCTGGGAGAGGGGAGTGATGGATGGGTTCTGATTCAATTTCTTTCAAAAATTGGTTTTGAAACTTGGGGAAAGTATTCTTTCATAAAGTCTCAGAGTGAGTGGTTCTCAGCGATGACATACTGATATCTGCTATGTTGAAGTCAGTTTTGAGATGTATTACCAATAATTAGTAACTGATATAGGATACCAAAGACTTTTTTAAAGCACTTTAAAAAATATAGTCCATCGTATTTCAAGTAAGTCAGTGACTTGCATCATGATTCCTAGGAGACGGAAGACTGGACTTATAACCAGAGAGCTGGGAATTGTCATGAAACTTACATCCAATTTTATCTCTGTCTCAGCTCAGTGTGAATCACCGATATGGTGCTGTAATTTGTCTGAATTTTCTTTTTTTTTTCAAAATAGGATACATCTATGAGAGTTAGTAGATTGCTTAATATTTATTTTGTGACTGGTAAAGCTTTGTCTTGAAACCACTGGTTTTGTTTTTGTTTGTAAACAATTATCCATATAGAAGATCCCATCAAGAAACATTCGATTCTATTTTTGCTAGCAGGCAATATAAATTTCTAAGTCAGGGTTAACAAGCAAAGCCATACAGGGTTACCTCTCTGGCCTGAATTGAAATAGTCCACATGTAAGGCAAGTAAGAGTGAGGACTGTGGTGAATTTCAGGATGCATGCTGGATTTGAAGAAATTCATTTAGAAGGTTGTGTGCAGAGAAGAAATGACAATTTCCGGTCACATTTGACCCACCGGCTCTTTCCTTAAATACCACGTCATCTAACTTGCTTTCAGTGTCTCTTCTTGTATTGATATGGTTCTCATCACTGGATTTTTTTAAAGCTTTACTTTTTCCTAAGTTATTTATATACATGAACAGGAATTCATAACCAGTAATCTATAGTCAATAGAGAAACATTTAGTCCTGTTACAGCAAAACCCTGGAAGACATAAGGTAGAATTTTCCCTAAGGCAAGTGAGCCTAGGATCCACAGACATTGCCACTTCTCTTCAGTCTTCTCTAGCCTGCTATTCTCAAGGAGCTAGCCTGATGTCTCCATTAGTGAAGGTTTTGATTGCCAGTAATAGAAATTCTCCCCCTTGGATGACCTTGGGATTCAATATTCTGGGAAGAAAGGGGGCCTGAATTTTAGGAACTCTGTGATTGTTCTTTATTTTGAGTGGGTCAGGGGTACTTTGGGTAAAAGCCTAAGAATTAGTTAATGCTGTGCCATTTGACGTGATGCTACCAAAAAAAAAAAAAAAAAAAGACGAGAGTGAGTAGAAATTTTATGACTCGAAAAAAATTCATCTAAATTTCATGTATTTTGGAGGTGACCTCTTTGGAGCTTTCTGGCTCTCTGATTTCGCATTCCAAAGACCAGGAATGAAAGAGGAAGGGTTATAATTTAGGGCCACAGTATAAACACAGTTGATTGCAAAGAACAATAAATTGCCATCAGAAATCAATACATTATTTTCCAAAGCTTGTCTGGAGAAGAATCATTCCATCTTTACAGACACAGTGGATGTTTGCTAGATTTATAGTTGTTTGTTGGGGGTTTATACAGCATCATATTTCCAATGGAATCCATAAGGAAGAGAAGCTTGGCCATTCAGCCTCCCTTTGGGGAATGCAGACTGCAGAGAAATCTCGAGAGGGTGCATGCAGAGTTATAAAGGAGCAGTCTTTTTCATGTACAATTAATTGTCCAATTAAAGATTCCTGGGCTAGTCCATTTAACTCTCTACTTTTCAGTGCTGTACTTGGCATATGGGGGCCCAAACTAGATAAGTTTATTTTTATTAATGCGGATAATATTAAAAATTTAGACGTCCTGATATCTGATGCTTAGTTGTATATATTTAAAAGGGAAATTTAACTTGTATTAGGACACTGAAAATCTATAAATATGTTGATCGTGGCCACAGAATGTCCCAAACCCTAGATTATAATTTACCCAGAGCAGGGAAGTAGAATTTGAAGATTTTGGACTCAGGCACAAATAATTTGGGGACATATACTGAACACTGAGTTTCTTCCCCTAGAATCCTTACTTACAGTTATTGGGAACTTGAGATGCACAGTAAAAGCTGATTTAGTTGCAATTCACTAATTTGGAGTCCGTGATGCTATGACTTAGCCAGACTAACATCTCCTTGTGCCTTCTAGTCAAAAAGAATTAGCTATGCTATGCAAAAGGACTTTGCCAGGGAGCAGCTTATCTATTTATTAAAGTACTTGACAGACTGGAAATTGCATTTTATTGAAATTGTTTTGTAATTTACCTGGACTCCAATTAGTCCAAAACTGTGATGTTTGACTATATTTCACTTTATCCCACGAGAACATCTAGTCCAAATTTTAAACATCACATTTGTTTCTAATAAATTTTTTTTATAAAATTAGATATTTTCCTCCTTTAAAAATCCTTCTTTTCATTTTATACCATAAATAATAATGGAGTGTCATGACTGTATAATAAAACATTCACTTTCCTGGGTAAACTGCTCTGCTCTTATTATCTGTGTCCTGAAACAGAGCCATTCTGTTAACTGAAATCATGAACTGTCTTAGGTCTAAGTATGAATTAAGCAGAACCAGTAAAATGTTAGCTGGCCATTTTCAACCAATGCCATGGAGAAGCTTAGATGTTTCCAAAGTCCCATGTTAGACAAAATGCTCAGTGTCCAAGGGTCTTGTGTCAGGTGAATGCATAGCAAGGTGATTTCTAAGACAGACTTGAATAAAACCAAGAACATTCAAAGGCTGACCTTCTTGACTGTTTCCCCATCTAAATGCACAAAGGTGGAAACTGCTCCATCTATGACTGTCTCAATCTGGAGCATATAATCCCCTTTTTAGGACAGGGTTCAGGGAAAATGGGGGTTTTCTCATTGCCCCAGGGACCTTATCTGACCCAGCAGGACTTCTAGTGAATAACCACGAGGCCCCTGAAGCAGCATGGTCTTTAAGTTCAGTCCAAAAAGATGCTCAGTCTCGGGGCGGCTCACTTCTGACAAGTCCTGTCGCTAGAACCAAAGAAAAGGTAGAGGAGGTTGAAGGGGAAACTGTGCTTTGTGTTCTGTTTCTACTAAAAATTACAAGGATGTCAGGGACACTGATTTTAATCAGCCTCCCACACGTCGTGAGGACAGAAATCCTAGCAAGTTCCAAAACCTGTAAGTTTCCACTAGACACAGAATCATCTAGAACTGCTGTCTCAGGGGATGCGCTCACCACCTTTAATGGTCCACAAATTCTTCTGTTTATCTGCATCTCCCCTTCTCACTCTACAGTTTGCCCTTCGGCTTAAAATTACTGATGTGTAAGGTAACGCAACATTTGGTCACTTACCAAATACTTACTATTCTGTATCAGGCATTGTGGGTGGGCACTGGAGACACAGAAATTAACGTGGTACCCAAAATCCTTGTCGCCAGAGAACTTATATTCCTGGGGGTGGATGTGGGGCCACAATAGACAAGTCTTCCATGTAAAAATTGGGAGCTGTAAGTACTCCATATACTTATACAGAGAGCTATAAGTATTATAAAAAACAAAGCAAGGGGGAGGTGTTGCAGTGATGCGGTCAAGCTGTTTTAGTTAGGAAATCAGAAAGCAGTTCTTGTGTTTTAAGGTTCAGCTTCTCGAAGTGTTCCATCAGAAGGCAGATATATTTTTGTAAGGTGGTGGTGGTAGGATCCTCCAGAGACACAGAACCAATAGGATATCAATGCAGATACAGGTACACAGTAATAGATACAGGGAGAAATACAGATAAAAGAGGAGATTTATAGTGGTAACTGGTTCATGCGTTTGTGAAGGCTGAGATGTTCCACAGTCTGCTCTCTGCAAGCTGGAGGACCAGGAAAGCCAGTGGTATAGTTCAGTCCAAGTTCAAAATCCTGAGAGCTGGCGGACCACTGGGTTAAGTCCTAGAGTCTGAAGGTCCAAGGATGGGGGCTTCCATGTCCAAGGGCAGGAGAAGATGGGCATTCCAGCTCAAGAAGAGAGAGAACTCACCCTTCCATCACTTTCCTGTTCCATTCAGGCACTGAATGGACTGGACGATGCTGCCCCCCTTGCTGAGAGTGGGTCTTTCCTCAGTCTACCAGATCAAATGCTAATCATTTCCAGATACACCCTCACAGACTCACCCAGAACTAGTGTTTTACCAGCTATCTGGGCATCCCTCAGGGCAGCCAAGTTGGCATATAAAATGAACCGTGACAGTGGTGTCAGACTAATCTTGATTTCAGCTTGTTAATCATCGATGTCTTGCTTACATGTGGATAAATGTTGAATATTCATGGTCATTTGGAAGACCCATGAGTTGGAAGCTTGAATTTGTACGGCTTTGCTGTTTCCTTTGAAAAAGGATGTCTCATCAGTTACATGTTAGAAGGGGAAGGATGGGTGCCTGACTCTGTAGTCAGACCTGCAGCATGGAGTCCTTCTGTGAGAGGTGGGGTACCTGTGGCACCCCTGTTACTATTGGAGGCGTGCTCCTGTCTCCTTAAGTCAGCAGAATTCTTGTGGATTTCAAAGGTGTTCTAGGAAGATAAGGTTGCACACCGACTGATGGGTCAGAGCTGAAGAGATTCCACATCGGCAGCCTTTCTCCTTAAATATGCACTTTTAACTTGCAAGTCTTTCGAACAATAGAGTTGTCAATAATTTAGTAAATCATCTCCAATGTCTTAAAACTTTTATAGCACTTTGGGGTTGCAATCTGGCAATGTTTTACATCCTGGATGCTACTGCAAATCAAAAATCTTTATTATAGAACCAAGTACGTACACAGAGCTCTCCTAGAAAAGAGGGGAAAGGGACAAATGTTTATAGATAAATATTTGCATAATAAAAATGTTTTAAGGAGAAAATTTTGTTGTAGTGAGGCTAGACTGAATGCCTAACTTGGAACACAAAATCGAGTAACCTTTATCTCATTCGCCTGGTTTATGATGAGATCTTCAAGTCTGGTTTGATTACAGTCAGGTGAGATCTGAAAGTGAGGAAAACAGGCTTTGCTTATTACTCTGAATAATATCTTGCACTTAATAGATGTTCAGTGAACTTGTGTTAAATTGATACCACCCTGATTTATGGGGGCACATCGTACAGTCCTGAAAACAAGTTTTATTCTTCCAATCAGGAGGAACTCACATACAGCTCATATGTGTCAGGAATTATTAGAGAAATACATGGAAATGCATGGGATATTGGTGCTTTTATGGATATTATATATATATATATGTGTGTATATATATACACACACACACA